GACGCTACCACCTCGTGTATCAGAGCTCAGAAAGACATCCCAGCACCTTTCTTTATGACACAAAATGAGCACGGCAGCAGTTTTGCGTGGAATTCGCACCTCACCCAGGGGACGAACGACAATGATGACCATGCTTATGGAACCAAATAACATCACAGTGCAATACATGTTTATACAGATCGGTTTCACAGACATGGGCATCATTGTCACTAAATCCCCTGGCTGAGGGTGTGAATTCCTCGCAGAGCTGCCGCTCGTGCTCATTCTGGTCATAAACAAAGTGCTGGACGGTTCTATCTGGAACTTCGACACTAGGTAGCTTACAATCCCAATACCTTTTCCTGAATTGGAAACAACGTACAGCAGGAAAAGCCGTTGGGGATCTTTGCAGTACATCAAAATGTATAGCAGGAGTTTGAACCAAAACTGTCAAGGGATATTTTAAAAATGTCGAGGAACAAGTCATTCGATGTCAGAGCAAAGTTTGGAGCAATTTATAGTGCTTCTAAAACTAAAAGTACCCTTTCAAAGAATAGCACGATAGGGCAATCGGAGCCTAATCGGCTTCTGTTTTCAGAATTAGGAAACATACTGAAGTTACTTATCCTGAAAATTGAAACTGGTGTCTCCTTCTTCCTGATAGTAATTTATTTTTGAATTCCAAAACAATTTCAGCTGAAGTTTTGACTGACTTTTAGTTATGGACTTCTGCTCCAAACGATTTTTCTTTCCTCTAGCCCCATGTTTATTTATTATATCAATTAAAGCCGATACCAGAAATTTCAGTAAAAAATATCGGCAAAATTTTTTACTAGGACACGTTTTCTTTGAACAGTGGGGTCCTTTTAAGGGGCTAATTTCTTAAGAAATATTTTACCATCAACGAAATCAGATATTTATTTCATTATTGCCGAATGATATCTGTTGTTTTTGCAAGTTTCGCAGCCATCGCGTTAAAATCGAAAAAAGTTATGACGGAAAATTTGTCACAGCTAAATGCTCTTATGTTAATCACGGGGCCACCTTAAACACTGGATGAAATGCAATGAACTTGACCCTTATTTAAGAACGTCATCTCCCTTTCCTTTGGTTTTGTTAAAACCTTTGTATTACGGGAACGCGCCCTCTAGGTAATCACCCAAAGGATTCATTGATGGCCCATTTGCCCGGAGATAAACAAAAGGATAGGCGTGGGGATTCAATTGCCACTTACCCAGGTTTTCAAAGCACCTTTCGACTAGAACACGTTCTTCAGTTGCCGTTGTAACAAGTTCTGAGTTTGCTGGGGTCATGAAGCGGCCCGTATCCCCTTTAATATGGCCTTCATCATAACTCGACATGAGCATTTTGTATGGCTAAAGTATAAACAATTGTACTAAGTGATGATGACTCAATTCAGAATTGACCTAAATCAACAATATCCTCGTGACATATCTACAAGCGGGTTTCTCTTTCCCTCACCCCTCATATATATGGGGGAATGGTTGCATGTCAGGAGTTAGGAGCAAAAATGCTATTGGACTATTAACAAAAATCCTGTCATAATGATACAATAAACGAAGATTGGATTTACAGGAAAGATGAATAAGTTATTAAACACAATTTTCGATTTCATCCTTGCGAGAGGGAGGACATGTTCAAGAGAAGAGTTAGGGAGGCCATCGAAATATTTTGTCAGGTTCAATATTGAACAGGGGAAGCTTGTTACGAGCACCCGCGATCTATCGGGACGTTTTTGTCACGTGATCTACAGTATAAATCACGTGACAAAATGACCAAATCCATCACTTGAAAAGATACCGCGATGGAATCGAAAGCTTGTGTTTAATAAGTCACCGTAAAATTCCGAAAATAAGCCCTGGGGCTTATATTTTCAAAGGCCCTTTTGAGGAGCTTATTTTTGGAGGGCTTATCTACGGAGGGAAATTGCGTTTCAAAATCGATCGAGCTAGCCTTATAGTTGGAAGTGAATTTACCGTTTTTGCTGGTTTTACTTTGTATTTGAGGCAATTTCCAAGTACAAGCCCTCGGGGGCTTATATTTGGAGGGGCGATTAACGGAGGTTTTTGCGTTACGAGTTTGCGGGGCTTATACACGGAGGGGCTTATTTTCCGGAATTTTACGGTATTCATCTATCCAGTAAATTGAACCTTCTTTTATTATGTCATTGTTGGATTAAATTTATCTCCGGGCTAACTTACTAAGTATGTTACGTAATCTACGAGATCCGCCCAACACTACAATATCACTTGTACGTTTAATAAATCCACTTTATTCTCTTTCAGGAGCAATATGTGTTTTTACACCAATCTGTGATGGTAGCTCTGGTCTGTGGGAATACTGAGGTTTCCTCTCGACTTACTGATAAGAATGAACAAAACTGCCAGAGTTAATAAAACGTCTACAAACAGGGATACGCTGAAGAACCAAAGGTATCAGTAGCTTAAAGTTGAGATAATTATCATTATCATTATTATTATCATTATCATCATCTTCATTACACTCAGCTGGATGGTTTGCTGGAGTATACCTGTGCAAACATCAAGCCACCGCCTGTGGCCTCAGGTATCTAAGACTTTGCTGATGATCGTTGCTGTTCCCAGTAATTGAGCACCCCTCTGTCCACTTACCACTGTCCTATATCTTGTCCTCCTCCTCCTCCTCCTTCTCCTCCTCCTCCTCCTCCTCCTCATCCCTCAGAGCAAACGAGGACTACTCGTAGTCTACGCGAAAACGTGTCCCCGGTAGAAAGGTCCTCTCCTACCCGATCCACCCCTGGGTGGGCCAGCTTTTCCCACATTTCATTACAAAACTTGTTGAACCCGTTTACATGAGAAACAAAGTGTTTGCTCGGCTAAAAGGGGACCCGCCTGGCTGGGTGTCTTTTTGGTGGTAGAGTCATCCTTCTTACCAGGCCATTTTCTTTTCCTTATAAACACTTTGGCTCATCCAGCCTGGGTCAACCTGATCAAGGCGAGAAAATCAGAGCGTGCGCAAGCTCTGTTGCCAGCTTTTGGTTCGGGCAAAAGGAGTCAATTTATTCTCATATAAAAACCGCTCAGTTTGTTGACTCGGCTGGGAGGGTGCCCTGTGTACCTTCTTTCAGGGGACAACTTTTCTCTACCTAAACAGGTCCTTATGATGCCTACATATTTAATACAATGTGTGATCAAACAAAAAAGGGAAAAAATTCCGATAAGCTGGGTGGCACTTCAGAACTAAGTGAGGGAATGTTTAAAGGGAACCTCCACTCTTACTACAGAATAAGTTTAAATCGAATAAAATTATGTTGATAAACAAATTTGTTCGAAATTTGTCTAAAAAAAGTGTTTATATCAGGAAAAGTGAATTTTAAAATCGCTTATTTTCACTTTCAAATTTCGCAGGCGCCGCCATCTTGAATAATTGTGACGTGTTGCGGTTGCTCTATTGTTCTGACACAAAGAGCTTTTGTTTAATAACAATAGGGCAACCGTAACACTTCACAATTATTCAAGGTGGCGACGCCCGCAAAATTTAAAAACAAAAATAGGCGAATCTAAAAGTTATTTCTTTCGGATACAAACGCTTTCTTTAAAAATATTTTAGATTGAATGGACTGTAACAGTTATTTCCTGTGATTTATCTTTTTGTTGAAGTGGAGGTTCCCTTTAACAAAAAATACTGAACAATAGTACCGTCTTGTGGTGTAAGTTCCTCTCCAAACGTTTCGGGCTTGGTCCTTCATCAGTGGAGTTACAAGTACGTTGGAAAAACGCATCAGGAAGCGCCTGAAGATGCGCCTTATTTTTCAGCTTGGCACCAGTCATCCACGCGGCTTTAACTCCGACTTCCATATCCTCTAGGCCACGGGCAGAGCCGCTCGCGCACTACAATTTTTTTTTTGGTGTTTATTTTTTCTTCAATGGCGTATGCAAAACCATGCAAAGTTTGCAAAGTACGGCAACTCCACTGATGAAGGATCAGGCCCGAAACGTTTGGAAGACTTAAACTACAAGACGGCACTTTTTTGTTTAAAAACTACTACGCCTTTTAGTGTCTGCAGATAATCGGTGATTTTGAAGGATCTGAAGAAGAGTCAACGGTGGCGCTTCAACCGGCCAACATCAAGAAGAACAGGTTTCCGGATATCCTTCCATGTGAGCCTATTTCAACTGTTCGTTTCCAATACTCATTATAAGGCATGATTCTTGTTATATATTTAATAGTTACAATGAGTAGTTAAATTGGGGCTATGTTGGCCATTTTTTTCCCTCCGTAGTGGATAATGGTCGACTGATTTTTAAAGTCTTCTGAACCGGATAAAGATTACATCAACGCTTCATTTGTTGACGTAAGTACATAATCATTGCATTTTGGTGGGATAGTCTTTAACATCCAACAAATGACTCAATTTTCTAGCTGCCATTGCGTTACTTACGAAGAATATCGTCGTTGTAAAATACAGTAGCAGTGGATCAATGATCTCTGTAGACTGAATTTCAACAATTCTCCGAGCATTGTTGAATGAATTTCTATTTTCAAAATAATTATAACCATCCGTCCTGAAATTCTTATTATTCTTTGAAATTAACAAATATTCCCAACAGTTTAATTCATTATTGCTTTCAGTATGCAATAAATTCTAAGATTGAGTAAGTGTGTCATCATTCATCATACTTTTCATCGCGCGGGAAGGAAGAGGGAGGTGGAGTGAAGGAGGGGGGGAACAAGACAGGTTTTGGTCCAGGCTGTTGAGGGAAGGAGGTAGGGTGATTTACCCATCCCCTCCCTTTAACTGATGCAGACAGAATCCTTAGCCGTTACCCAAAAAACCCAATAACGCTGAAGAACGCTTGAAATCACCAAGCACCGTCCTCTCAAAGACTCGCCTGCCATTTACGCTTTGAACTTCCCAATCTTTCACTCTTTCTTTTTGTGCGATAGGACTATATCCGACGTGACACGTACATTCTGACTCAAGCTCCATTAGACAACACCATTAATGACTTTTTTGGCGCATGGTATCACAGTATGATATTGGGACGGTGGTGATGCTCAACAGCCTGGAAGGAAAAGAGGTCAGTCTGTGAATATATCTTCTCTCAGCTTTGACTTGAATTCGAAAAAAATATCCCAGGTTGGTGTATAGCATTTTTTTTTCTGAGGAGATCATTTTACCTGTAATCACTATGTGGCAATGCTACCCTTTTCGCAATCAGTATCACCACTAGTAGTTTGCATGGTCAGAATTAAACCTGTTTATCTCGGTATAGCGAAAAGCTCGTCAGAGTAATGCTTCCATCAGCAGCTTCTCGAGTCGTTCATCGGAGGATAGATCAGCTCGAGAGTTTCTAACCTGTCGGTAACAAGGGGCAGGAAAAGGCCATGCGAGGCTGCGTTCGATATCTTGAAGAAGTTCCTTCACATCGCCAGCCTGCCTGCAAATAAACAGCAGCGAAAACAACCAAACAAAAACGATAACAAAGACGGCGACGACGACGATTAGTAATGTTTTCTGTTTCAAGTTTGGTCGAATTTTACATTTACATGTATGTCCTTTGTCGTGAATTTTATGAACTACTTTTAGGTCTACCCACAATACTGGCCTTCTAAAGGAAGTACTAGGTATGGGAACATCACTTTAGAGATGCTTTCAGAATCTACAGCGAACGGAATCACGACCAGGAAGATCAGTATAGCAAATACCGAGGTATTTCTATCTACCTTTCTAACTTATTCATAGAATGGATCTGTCACTGTTGTTTAGTTCATTTTGTTTAGAATGCCTGTCACGCATTCTTATTCGTTTTGAAACTTACCATGAATGACATTAGTTTAGGTTTCTGGGAAACTGCCCACCTACCCCTCCCTTAAGCCAACATTTTGCCCTACGTGAGAAGTAAGTGTTAACGTTGGAATAGGGGAAGGGTAGGTGTGCAGTTTCCCAGAAACCTAAATTGATCTGTCAAACAAAGTAGGTCTCCCAAGCATTAATTAAGCAGTTGTTAGAAACAACAAGAACAGAACTTAAGCCAACAAGTTTTCAAAAACTACAATTGCTATTCGTTTCAATCTTCTTTGAGTTTTTCCGTCTGTGTTTCCTTTTGTATTTGTTTTGTCATTTATACCCTCTTTTAACATTTTGAACGGTTATTTTAATGTTTCACTCAAATTGGCAGCGGTTCCCACAGTTTGAATTTTGATAAATTTCGTGACACAGCTCCTTTGAGTCCGTAATTAAGTGTTTTAGCAGTATAAACAAGTATTGCTGGTTTAAACGTGACGTCACGGCGGCCATGTTGGTGGTCAAGAACAAAAGCATTTTCTCCTCTGGGGAACGAAACTCTATTTTCATGTTAATTCTTCGAGGAAATATTCTTTTGTTTTGACCCCAACATGGCCGCCTTGTCACGTGGTTGCAAACCAAAAATACGTCACTTCTGTGTAAATACGCTAACCCGCCCAAATCTTAGAAAGCTATATACCTGAGGCACCTTTATTTCTTTTAGTCTCTCATCTGCACGTTATCTGTTTTCATTATCTGCACATCACTAGTCAGTTGTTACTATACAGGATCAATAGAAGGCAGCATTCTAGGTGATTTCGATGTTATGATAATGTTGCGCAGTTGCACTGGGAGTATCATTATATACCTAATTCAATAAAGGTTGCTTTGGTAATTGGTCATTGGTGATTAGGCATGGGGTATTGGATATAGAGCGTTTTCACTCACGTGACCAGCATTTATGCAATTTTATTGGAACAAAAAAGCGTTTACATAAGAAAAGAGTTCAATTCCCACAGGACTGGTTTGGAACAACATCATGGCCGCCGTGACGTCATGTGAAAACGCTGTATACCCATATCATTGCAATGATTGGTTTGAGTAACCGCTCCTGGTAACCGCCAAACAATAGCTTCCCGGGGAGCAATTGCCCAATGCCCAAAGCAGCCTTACTGAATCAGGTATATATCTCAGCGAAAACTTTTCACTTGACGGTTTTTTTAGCCTCCCAAGAAAAATTCGACGGTTCAGCACCTACAGTTCACTGCCTGGTCAGACCCAAACTCCTGCCCAGATCCCCAGGAAATACTTCGTTTATTGACCGCCGTGCAGAAGTCTCAGCAACAAACAGGAAATGGAACAATTGTTTTTCAGTGCAGGTACGAGGGTCAACACTTATTTGAATGAGGCATGGGCATATAAATAAGTAAATAAATAAGCTCTTTATTAATTTCAAAAAAACGTTCCAAATAGCCTCAGCCACAGATTGCTCGGCACCTTTTTGGCAACTGTTGCTATTTGGAGCAACTTTCTGGCAACTTTTGCCATTTGGGGCAGAAGATCTTGATCCGAGAGGGCAGTAGTTTTAAATTGCATTATTGTACTTCACTGGCTGTCATTTTGATTTTAAGGAAAAACTTTTGACCAATTTTTTAGAAAAGTCGGGCAACTTTTAAAGAATTTTGGGGCAACGTTTAAGAACATTTGGAGCAACTTGAGGCTGAGGGTAGTTCCAGATTACAATTGACAATTAGACAAAATTGACACCTGTTAATAAAACACCGTTTAAAACGGTACACAGGAACGACCATGACTCCTTACTAATCTTGTTTCACTGGGTGGGAGGAGATCTACCAAAGGGCAGTCAGTAGAATTTGTAACGCTCCTCCATAACTATTATCTGAGGAGTCTAGAAAGCTTAAAATCGGCGTGGCCTCCTTGAGAAAGCCAAGACGAACTGCTCTCTCCTGAAACATCAATTTAGGAAAGACACTTACTATAAGTTACTTCGTCCTAACTTTCTCCCTCTTTTCTACCTTCACTTTTAGAATGGTTTGACCAAAAACATGTTTCATAAGATAAATTGAAAACAGTTTATTTTTCTCGAAGAATTGTAATAAACTTGAGTAGCGGAATGTCGTTTGGTTGAGTGGATTTGGAAGGATCCTATAAGTTAGTACCTCAGTCTAAAACAGGCTTATGATCAGAGGATAACTTTGCGAGGGTTTGTAGTGGATACATTCCTAGGACAGCTTGCGAGGCAACTGGTGCATGCTCCAAACTTGCTGATTTGAAGTTCTTAGCACGGACAGTTGTTGCACTGGGTCAAGAAAACCTACCGTTTTTAGTAAAATGAGCTCTTTGTTTGCCCAGTCCCAATGCTTTTCTTGGGACCTGACATGGCGTATTTGTATCACCCGACTTACCACCTGGAAAGATCCTATTGCTTCCATATTTGGACTAAACAAATCCTTTTTCTATTTTTTTTCTACAGCGACGGTGTTGGACGCAGTGGAGTCGCAGCAACCGTAATGTCCGCGATTGAAAAACTCAAAAACGAACAAACTGTGGATGTGTTACAGACGGTCAATCTGATTCGCGTAAAAAAGACCCTTTGCTGTTTCAAATGTGGTAAGATAAACTGCTTAAAAGTACGATCTTCGAACCCTCTAGACTTCTTTCTGTAGTTTTGTGTTGTTGTTGTTTTTTGGGGAGGGGAGGGGCGGGGTCTGTTTAACCTTTTCCAGGCGTTCAGATAGTAGAGCGCGGGCGAAAAATTAAAGAGGAAAAACAAAAAGAGGGAAGACAAGTCTCCCCTCCTTTTTTTCCCGTCGTTTTCCCAGCGTACGATTTAACTCTCTCTCTCCACCATCTGAACGCCGCGCTTTATTATCGGAGCGCCTGGAACATAAAATAAACTGTACAGGGAAAAGGGAATGCATATATGAGGAAATATGCGCATCGAGAAAGACTGTGACAGCATGCTTTATTTCATAGTGTTAACATTATTTATAATCGATATTGTTTATCACTTTTAGGAGCAATACATGTTGTGTTACAAGACAATCCAAGCATATTTGGATTCCTTTGGCGAATATGCGAACTTCTCAAAGCGATAGTCCTCTGGATTACAAACGGCTTATTCTTATTCTTTCTCGTCCTTGCATTTTTGACACAGGTCCTATACACAGGTCCGCACTTCACGAGACTTTCACCCACCTTAACTAGTCAAAGATGAGTTTTTGCACAGCCGCTCTAAGTTAGGGAGGTTTAAATTTTAAAACAAATATGATTATACTACAAGTGTGAACGCAGCTTAGTCTTGTAGTTTAATTTAAAATGACGTTAAACATCTACGCAGGAGCGACAAATCAGAATTCATAAAGGAGAAGAAGAGGCTAACATATAGTGATTTGAATTAATCATTTTGAGCTTAACTACTTAAATTTTCGTGGAGTGGATCTCCACCACGGTAAAGGTTGAAAATGCTGTTAGGTTTTGGATTTTTTATGTTAAATCTTAACCCCAACCCGCAAGTGAAAAACAACGCTGCCCGCTGCGCAAATTATTAATAATTCTTACCAAGGCGTCTATAATTATAATTTTGTAACTGAGTCGTAACGGTGAAACTTGAAAGACGAATAGTTCACTCAGTCTGCTTGGCGGCAGTATGCTTGCCATTGAAAATTGATTAACTAATCGAAAAGATTATTGGTCATGTTTGAAGAATGGAAGTTAAATTTTATACAGCAATAATTTATTAATATTTGCAAGGACGGACCATTGGAAAACTTATGGGGGGCGAAGTACAAAAAAAAAAAAAAATTCGCAAGGGAAAATTAAATGAAAAAAAAAAAAAATTCTTGCACGCCAATTAACCCTAAAAAATATTCATGCTATGGCCCCCAAACAAATTCGGACAAAGAATTCTTCCTCTCCCCCATAAGTTTTCTAATGGTCCGTCCCTAAGAGAAAATTTAAAATAAGTAAGTACATTTAATAGTTATCGGAAAGAAAATAGAATTATTTATTCGTCAAAATAATAAAATGAATTTTCTTAGTACCGTAAAGGACAATAGGCGTTATGTTGTTTACGGAATTTGCAACAATTTCTCGCACTTCCTAACTAGGGCCAGCAATATATCCATGTATATGGTTGAAGCTTTCACAAGCGATTATGTATCCGCACATATAAACAGAATGGAGATAGATGACTATTGTGAAGCAATAAAAAAGATTCTTTGAATAATCATTGTCAAGGATATATATTTTTCTTCATTCTTCAATTAATACTGGAGATTAAACTCGGTTTCCATTTACAATTGTGTGTGACAAATCAAGTTCTGAACCGAACAATTGCGATGAAAGTTACGGCTTTTGGGCAGAGCGTAGCAAAGAGAAGATGATCAGGAGAAGTGGCAACGGCAGTGGCAGCAGCAGTAGCAGGAGTAGAAGCAGCAGCAGCAGCAGCAGCATCAGCAGCACCAGAAGTACAGGAGTACTAGCAGGAGCACCGGAGTATCAGTTGTAGTAGCAGGGGCAGTAGCAGCAGAAGAAGCAATATCACCAGCAGTAGTACTTCCAGGAGCAGCAGAAGCGCCCAGCAAGGGCTGTAGCAGTAGCAAAAGCAATAGCAGGAGCAGAGCAGTAGCAATAGCAGAACCGTAGCATTAGCAAGAGCAAGAGGAGTAGCAGTAGCAGTAGTAAGAACAGTAGCAAGATCAGTAATAGAGCAGGAGTAGTAGCAAAAGCAGTAGCAGACATTAACAGTTGCAGTAGCAGTAGCGAGAGTGGAAGGAGTAGCAGAAACAAAGCAATTATAGAAATCCTATAGAAAATTTACTGGGTGCAAAATATTCATGTTTCGCTTTTCAATGAAACCATAGTTTATTCACTACAAAAAACAATACTAATTCACCCTTCATTTGGGTTGATGACCTCTGTATGTAAGGGAATTAACTATTCTAAAGGGTGTATAAAATTGGTTGGAGAAATAATCGGAGTTAATCCTTGTTTTGAGGTTATTTTGTTTTCCTTGTCTTCACGACTGTTAAAGGGACTGTTCGACGGCTGTTAAGATTATTTTGTTAAGTCTGTTAATATTGCCAAGATGGGTCGGTTTTTGCTAAGGCAAGTGCCTGCTACGCAGGCTAATTGTAAACCGTTTTAATCTTCTCCGAGTTTGCCCATCCGTGCGATATTTTGTATTTGCTGTGCTATCCATACAGCCTCGTCCCCACGACGCTTTCCCCCCTGTTCCCCCGGCTCCTGAGGAGGGGGAAAAGCGCCCTGGGGACGAGGTTGCTAACCATACCTTCTGTTCTTGCTTATTTTTGCGTTTCATTTCACTTAAGCTGATGGCATTTCTCAATATTTGAATTTTTGAAAAATTTCGTGACACAGCCCTTGTAATTTCTTACACACGCGTGTAGACCATAGTTGGGAGGTGGTGAAACTCACTGAAAGGTCAGTATACTAGAGTGGCCAACACATTAGACTACGAGTAGTCCCCCCATTTTTCCTCAGGGATAGTAGAGCGAGCAAAACGCGAGCGCGCGTGAAAATCAACCCACGCGAGAAAAGGCGACACGCGGCGGGGAGAGAGAAAAATGAGGGACTACAGACAAAGCCCAAGCTTTTGAACTAATGCGTTGCTCTCACAACGCAAAACTATGATTGGCTCTTCCATGGAAATCTGTCAACATCTGTCAAAAACGCGCCAGCCGCTATCAACACTCGACATAATCACAATTTACAGAACAAATAACTAGAGCAGAAATAATAAAGGCAAAGAACAAATAACTAGTCAGAGTTGCTGTTGTAGAAGCAACTAAGAAGAAAACCAACCCGGCAACTGATGAGGTTCGCGTTGAGGATCGAAACCATGGTCTTGTCTGATTACAAAGTGGGAATTGAATAACAGAACAGTCGCAAGGCTGTTAAGCTTATTCAAAAGTTATCACCAAGGGAGGAACTACGCACTCCAGTCCAAATACTCACATTATCTCCAGAAAAACAAGCGGCAGTTAAAATTCATGAGCAGTCATGACTGAGTCACATCGCAGTTCTCCATAGTTGATGTAGTTTTAGTTTGAGCTGCAATCCATTCTTCGAGATTTGGATATCGCTGTCCGTCCTGCTAAAAACGCTAACGAGCTGGGCCCAGCGTGACAAAACATTGCAGGAAACCGTCACATTCACGGCCAAAAAGAAAATCGCTTAAAATAATTCAGATCCAGGAGGCAATCGCCGGAGAAATTAAACAATCCCAAACCCTTATTTAGCCGCATTGAAGAGCTTTACTTTTCAAAAGAAGTGAAATAAAATGCTCTTGCATTAGTGGGCAAATCATGCCGACCATAAACAATAACCGCAGAAAATTAATATGCGGTCACGACCTCTCAGTATGAAATAAGCGGCTAAAATCACATTTGCTCAGTCAAAACGTTTTCCTCCAGAGCATAATCTATCCGTCAGAGAAAAAAGTTCATTGGAACAAGCAGCATTTTGGCATGAGTTAAAGTCGTGTGTTGCCTACACTATCAAGTTCTTCACGCGAAACAACCGTCAAGAAAATTAGTATCTGGGTTTTCTTTTTGCTTTGCAATAAGTATCCCCGCAGTTTACCGATGACAAGAGCAATGACAGCTCAATGAGGGAAGGAATCCCATTGGATGCGCTTAATTGATTTGGAGGGGGATACGAACTTCACACTCCGAAATCAGTCGGCCGTGAAGGGTCAAAAGCTTGGGCTTTGTCTGTAGTCCCTCATTTTTCTCTCTCCCCGCCGCGTGTCGCCTTTTCTCGCGTGGGTTGATTTTCACGCGCGCTCGCGTTTTGCTCGCTCTACTATCCCTGAGGAAAAATGGGGGACTACTCGTAGTCTACCAACACATGTTTCACTAGGAGGATCTCTTAATACTGGGCATTGAAATAATTTTCCCTTCATTAAAAAAGATATTGAAGGTGGTACTATTCAGGTGTGAGTACGTTTCAGTTTCAACACCACTCGTTTTTGACGATTAGCCTCCGATCTTGCGTGTGGTAGTTTTTTCTCTGTTTTCAGTGACAGCAAGCAGGAAACAAAGGATTGAAATGCATCTTGCGGCTTTATTCATTATTTATGACAGTGACACGTCTTGAAAGTGCCCCACATCATGTCCATCAAAGTGTGTTCACTGTATTATACGTGTTGAATGATCAACATATTTTGTAACTGTAAGGACTAGAGAAGGACTTTATTCTACGAGCGAAACGACAGAATTTTGCTTGGCACCAAAAACAAAAACTAGAATTTTGCATGCTATTTAGTTGCGGTTTTTAGAAGAGAGCTTGTTTTGAAGCTTTTTAAGGCGTAACGCAAAGTAAACACACAATCGATCGGCCATACGTTGTTCCAAATGAAAACAAACAAGCTTCCGAGGATATTAAAGCTACCTTTTTATCTGCGGAATTCAATTTGTGTTATCGATGGGCTGTTGACCAAGATAAATTTGGCTATCAAGGACTATCAAAGCCGCGCCTTACCTTCTTATCTGGGATATCTGCGCGTGTCAATGATTAGAGGACACTAATTGAATTCTCGTGACGAGCCAGTTCATGAAGTTTGTTATTTCTGAGATTTCAAGGTAGCTTCGCTGATAAGAAAGATTCCGCCTCGTGTCATTTCCTCTGAGCCCTTTTACGGACTGCGAGATAAAGTTCCAATCTGCTAAATTGCTCCAACAGGATTAGTCACAAATCGCACGTCAATGATCACGCCAACGTCCACTGAAGCAAATATAAAGGGGCTTTGGTGGCACCGTCAAGATGATTTCTCATAACTCTTTACTTTTGACGGCAGTTAAACTTGAACTTGCAATAATTGAGATTTTCGCCAAGAAGCTTCTTGGGTCCACCCAGTTCTGAGCTCAGTGACCTTTCACATAAAGTTGGACAGTAATTAATTTTCGCGGAGACGAGAAAGATAATTATGAACGATAGTTCAGTGTCTTCGGTCAGAGATTTTTTTCTTAGATAAAAGACTTAAAAACCCTCAACATGACCAGCCGACAGTAATTGATTTTTGCTTCTAAAAGAGTGAGTTTATTATGTCTGCTACAAGCTTAGAACACCCACGTTTGGCACGTTTTGCTCCGATATCGTTTTATGTAAAGAAAAAACTTTTTCAGTCAAGATTGTACGTTCAGACGCATGCAAACCGGACCTGTATTGATCTCCAGGTGTCCGGAGAGTAAAGAGAGATTCAAGTTGTGGGTTTTAATATCATGGCCAACCAAGGTGTTTTGCCTGTGCCTAACTGTACAGTAAATTAGACCTGGTAAAATTATAGGGCGCCGTAGGCTCTTGTATCTAAAAAAAATCATCAGTACATCGTACGATTTTAATAGGAACTCAAGAACAAAAAAAGTTGCAAAACCATACAGGAAACATACCAATCCTTATTTCTCAGTTACAGCATCCGGTATCGGGGAAAGACTGATCAGGAAAACAAAGCTTAAATATTTGATATTGCTCACATTATTATTATGTCGAACTTGAAACACTAAATGGCCAAACAAAGCAGAAATCAAACACACTTTTCATCTCGATGTTGCTTTTATAAACAAAGCGTTTACATGAAAACGATTTTTCAACATGTTTAGGCTTCATTTCGCACGGTTTCATTTGACCATCAGCTGAGGCATTTGAGGGCAGAAGTCGTCAAGCAGCGATATTTCCCGCGGTGATCAACTTGTTATAAACGGACAATAACAAACGCGATATTATATTTCAAGTATCATATACCAGCTACAAACGGACTCCGAGAGCTCTTAATATTGCGTCCACTATAAAAGCCTGAGGGAAATTAATCCGTGAATGAATCTTGACCTTAACATCCAACTTTGATTACGGTGATCTTGAGCAGAACACGCCGTGAAATCTTCACCTAAATCCTGAACACAGGCACAAATCATATTTCTCCTTGGGTGTCGCTAAATGGTCACAGTGAAATGATATTTTTGGAACATTTATGAGGAGGACGTGACAAGCATTCGCGGGACAGAAAACGAAGGAAAACATTGAATATAAGCGCTTCAAAATGGTGTTTAGTACCTTCATTATTCTTGGTGTGCTGTGGGTTGCAAGGGCCGATTCAAACGGTGAGTATTGAACCAGTATCCATGCATGCCGTTATTTCCATCAAAATACATGTGGTCTCTAATTTCTTTGAGCTCTTTTTTTGTTCGCTGCTAACCTTTTCTTGTACTGGTATCAAAATTTAGGAAGTCTTTATATTTATAAGTTTGTGATCTAATGGAACTGTTGCACTAAAGTCGCATCGTTATTTCTCTCATGTTGACTCGACACTCATCACGTTTCTATACTAAGTAAAACTTCCCAAGAGCCACTTTCAAGAGAACACGTTAACTTTACTTTAGAGTTAGGCTACAACACTTTGTATATGAAACTCACAAACAGCTGAATTCAGTTTCTCTTCTAAAGAAACGCTGCAAAACGTGGGTAAATCATTTGTCGGCTAAACTTTTGAAGTGATGATTTAACATACTCGCAGCATTATAAGATCAGAATGCCTTTTCAGAAGAATTAATTAACGTCCAACTTGCTGTAATTATGGCAAGAGTTTATGCTCTGGTATGTTCTTATCTCGCTCTACTGGTATTGGATGATGGCAATGAGTCATTTATAGAACAATTTGTCCCTTTTGAATTTATTACAAACAGCTACAACAGTAATGTTAAACCAATCATAATTATATTATAGAGACATAAATCGGGTTGTATTCAGCCAAGATCACATATTTATAACATGCTCATGTTTCTTGATCATACATCCTCTGATCAAAACTGTCACTCAGGAATTTCAGGCAATTTATTGATCTTGCTGTTTTTGCGTTTCATCAAAAACTTCCCATTATCAGGCTGTGTTTATCGTGGGTCCTAAGTCTATCATCTCTGTTTACCATTCCTTTCAAATTGTTTCCATTGTTTCCCAGTTGTTTCAAAGTTTTGCTTTCTAAACAAACAACAGTTATGCCAGTAAGATGTGCTTGTCATTTTGTAAACTAGTCAATGGACGATCGAGGCACTTTTACGATATTTTTATATTCAAGTTATTTCTTTTTCGTCTTTTTTTCGAGTCGGCAAAAATCCTCGATGACGGAAAGTTGTCATTCAACTTAATTGTGTTGAACTGTCCTTTTTTTGTTGCTGTGATGTTTCTTTTTCAGCATTTCTAAAAATAAGAATCCCAGTTTTCAACCCCCTTTGGGCGATTGGTTAATGAAGAAAGAAAGGTCAAAAGCTCAAAATGTGCTGTACCCACTGTTGATTTGAGAAAAGAAAGAAAAACAAACAAAAAATAAGACAGTTTGCACAATACGACCTTAGGAGAGGGCACTGATTATTTAGAACACTCCTTCCTAAACAAGCAATCCGACTGCTAATACGAAAGCTTGAAAACTACCGCCTCGAATCGCCAAGGCAAGCCTACTCTTTACAAATGCTACCAAAGTATGGACATCTGTTCTATTGGCCTGAAAGATCCAAACTTAAACTCCAAAAGTGTTTACACCCCTTGAAACCCTCTCTAAACCACTCTTACTGTCCGAGTGCGGAGCAGTGTCCGACTGACTGATTGGTCTGATCGTCCCGATCACCAATAAGTATTTCATTTGCGCAATGAATTAATTGAACCTGATAGTATCGAGCAAAAATTCTTATGTTAGACATCTCTTCTATTTACAAAGGAAAAATTTCATTACAGAGGAAAGCAGGCCTAGGTACCCCGTTAGTATTTCGTTCACTCGGACTGTTGAATTTATAAACGTATTTCCAGTCGTAGTCCTTGAATTATAGCCACCCTCCAGGCTCTAAGCCTCCTCAATGGACACTAGCTGAACGATGAAATATAGATCTGTTTTGGCTATATGTTGTCAAGTTTGAGGTTTCCGGCTAAATGAATGAAATAATTTGTCGCAGTGATAATTTGGCAGAAGACCCAAGTGTGTAATCAATTTCCGGTCACTTGGCAATCTCACGCCTTGAAATTCACAGATATACAATGAAACCTAAAGAATCAGTGACAATACACAGATCTTCCCTTCTTTGAAAATTCTGCGTTCATAAAAAAATGTCAAATAAAGCCCCAGTTTGTTCAACCAAAAAGAGAGTAAACTGAAGTTAACTGTTTCAAACCCATGAGCATTTCTGATCATGGCATTTTCAAGTTTGTCCGAGTTCGTAAGGCTTATAGGTGGCGCGCACAGCTTATTCCACGACACGTAATCCACTTTAAGCTTTTAAAACATGCAAGTACGGAAAGTGCAAAATGGATAAAACAAACTCGAATTAAAGCTCTTTTTCCCTGTAACAATGACATATAATATAGGGCGTAATATTGGAGTTCTTGTTTTGCCATCTTTAACTCATATTCGCGAAAGCCAAAACGAAGGAGGAAGTCCTTTGCTGTATACAGCCATTGCGAGATAGGTCGTCGGAAAAATGTGCACGCGTCAATACCGAAAGGTAATGTGGGATATGATCAAATAAACTGTGCCTGACTTTGTAGCTCTCGAACCTACTTTTGTTGCTTTCCTTTAGCACTCGCTATCATACGTCCATGGCCTCTCGTGCCATTCTTTCAAATTTCTTCGAAGAACAGTTAACTCAAAACCACCTACAATTAAAGCTTTCGGGATTGTCGCGTGCACTTTTTCCGACAACCTTTCTCGAAATTAGAGCTTTAAATTCAGTGGCTGATCGAAGGCAGATTAAAGAATTATACTGAACCAAATACGACATTGCTTTAAGCAGTGTCGTGACAAGAGAAGTTGATTCTCTCGTGCACTTTAGTAGGGGGTCATTATTGGTGACTAGGTAACTTCAGTGTCTCATCTCATCATGTACGGTGCATCTCATAATCGACTAATGCAGCCGTCTCCTACCAGAGAATCGCATATCCTACCCATATCGCTTTCGTAATCTTGCGCGCTGGCTGGCTTGCCAACGGGTATGATGATGCTTTCCTAGCGGGCACACTAAGTAAATGCTACCAGATTCAATACTGGTTCGTTTGTGTGGTGATTTCCTCCTAACTTCTAGCCTGCGAATACAGCCGTTTCGCGAGTTGCAAGGAGTAGAGACAAACGACTGTATTCGCAGGTTACCTAACTCCTTAAGGCGGCTACATTCACGTTCGCAATTCTTTTTTGGTTACTGACGAACAACACAATTTCCCTTTTCGCCAGGCGCCGAGACCCGTTTCACCAAACTGTTTTAAAAACCCTCCAAGAAGAAGTCCAAAGAGGGATTGAATTTGGTTAACAGTGTGGACCTGGCGTGATTTCGAACCTTTTTAAAGACGATATGGGTTTCATTTTCATCACTTAAAGTGCTTTAGTTTTCACTCAAAACAGCTGCAAGCCACATTTGTGCCTCGACCGTCCTGATTCTGCTAGCATGACATAAATAGAAAACTATGCTCTTAAAAAAAAATACGGTATAGGTGCAAGAGATGACTATAGGAGAACGGCACCAAGCTACAGTGCAGGGACGATAACCTTTAGAACTGTATAGCTCATCAAAACCAACGTCGGAGGTTTTATAAACTTTCTTAAACTAGGCCAGTTTTTCACCCCTGTTACGTCTTTCTCGTTATAATTAGATTATGGTCATTCATTTTACTCTCTATACATTGTTATCGCCTCGTTAGCAATATTTTGCTCTTTGTTAAAGTAACGTTTTTCGGTTCACTTCTAGCATTTAGAGCAGATAAGACTAATTTTTTCAATATTGTGTTTTATAATTTGTCTTAATCTTTTCAATGCAATCTTGTCTCTGCACCTTTTTAGCATTTAACTTTACATCAGTAAGTAATTGTTTCCATGTTGTTACTTCAATCTGTACGATACTGAGTTGAAGAGAATGAAGGCACAAATCTACAAGGAATTAACAAACAGAGAAATTTCATTTTTCTAATTCTCCTCTATTCCCTTCGCGAGGGTTGCTTTGCCTCTTCTGTAAACCTTTTTAGGTGTAAAAATATTGCCAGGTTTTGTTCAGGTATGAATATGGGACTGCATGGACTTTTCGCAGAAGCACGCAAGATCCTTTTATTTAGAAAACGCTGTAACATACACGCAACTGTCCTGATTCATTCAACGTTCTCTCTTTTCTTTCGTTTGCATTCCCTTTCTTTTCTTTTCAAAATAGCATTTCAATATGTCTTATTCCTGAAAATCACGAGGACATAATTTCTTGATGACGATTGGTCAGCCTTTCTCGTTCTTGTGTGGTTAAGGATGATAATCATGGTTAACGTTTGCTTGGGGCAATATTAAACAAAACCTACAATCGATGTTTTTGGCAATAAACTCATTTCCATACTAACACCCCAAAAAAGACCCAAATTATAGAGGGCGTAAAATTGAAACTGCTTTCAAATCTGGATATACGCTTTGGTGACTTTTATGTTACGAATCGTGCGCAAGAACAACTTTCCATTTGTGACATTTTTCATTTTCACATAAAAATAAATAAGTACATTTTAAGAAAAAGTAAGTCTTAATTTAGCCTGGGTAGCACGCGTCTAACTTTCGCGGGTTAGAAACGAAATGTCGGCTGTATTCAATATTATTAACATCTTCTGTAATTCTCACAACTAATTTTTCTTTCCTTTCAGAGCTTGATCCACCTAGTTATCTTGTTGGGTATGTAACTGGTGATACGTCGATCAAACTCTCCTGGGAAGTTAAATCTTCTTCAAACAATACAGTGTTTGAGCTAAGGTGGAAAATAGGCGACAACGAATCGTCTATGTTGCTTCCCGGTTCAACTGGAACTATCACACTAAAGAATCTCCGAGTTTACACTCAGTATCTCTTTCGAGTAAGAAAAGGTACTGTGGATGGCAAATGGGGTGCATTTACCAAATTCACAAGTATCTGGACCCCGGAGGGAGGTAAGAATATGAACGGTTATGACAAAAAACAGCGTTAATTGGTTTATTCTCAGACCGTATATTTTTTTCTTTAAAGATCGTTCGGCGCAAGTATGAACTGCCTGAGATTCATTAACTGCCAGCGCAGTGGGGTTGGGTGGGTAAATGCCACTCTCGTTCTCGCATGTTCAAATATCCTGAAACAAGTAAACAAAGAAAGAAAAGACGAACACGTCTACGGACAGGCTAAGTGTTAACAAGACAAATCATTATTCTTTACAAAAGGGAAAAAGCCCAAAAATATTAAATCGTAGGCATGTGCACCTCATCTCAAATGTGCAAATATGGAGGCCATATAGAAAGGGTTACGCCCGCAATGAATGATCAGATTTCTGTCAAGCTCCGAACATGTCTCGTTATCCGGTGTATGACATTTGCAAACTGCAGACTGCAGACTGCAGACCGCAGATTGCAGATTGTAAATTAAAAGACACCAAAAATCTTCCTAATAAAGGTGACACCATCAAAAATATAACATCGTGTGAAAGTGAGAAAGTAGCCTGGGAACATGGTTGATATTTTTGCGCAAAGTTACATTGGCCTCATTTCCAAGTTGCTGCTGACTATTCTTTTTATTGACTCACCCGGCATATCACTAATTGCGATGATTCTTTATTCTTCTTTGAATTTGATTCTTGTGAATTGATAATGACAATTAGCAATGCCCACCAATGCCTGTCTAAATAGTAGTCTGCTGTAAAAAGAAAAGTTTTTAGATTGCGAACACTTCGTGCTCACTATAGTTACATTGACAAAAACAACTAGGATAGATCACGGACATTTAACATCTTTTAAATGACGTATTTCAGCGGTATTTAAGGACATGCCAAATAATCTAAACCGAACAGATCCTACCTGGACTCGACGAATTACCGGAAGTGCATTTTGAATTTCTAAATAGGCAACTCGACAATGGCTTTTTTAACAGGCCAATCATTGCTCATACTCAAATCCTAGTACAAAGGTAGGGACCCCGTAGAATAAGGATTCCGGCGCTGTTTCACAGACGTGACAGACTTATATAACCAGAGTTTTGTTTCGTCTGTGGTGCAGGCTAAATTGCTAGCCTGTTGCTATGGATTCATGAGCGAGTTTGTGACATCGGCAGACCTTATTCTGCTCTAATTCAATACGAGAAGAACAGCCAACAACTCCTTCAGGAATGAGGTCGGTGTAATTTGCGTGAAAAATATAAACTTCGCTTCTAGGCCTTACATGTACTTCTCGGAACAAGGTAATGTTGATGATGACGCCACCTTTATTACGATATATTTAGTGTCACTCAATTTACAGTCTTGCTGCCTCATGCAGTCTGCAGTCTGCAAATGTCATACACCGCTCATTATCCGGCAGCATCAGGTCAAAAGCGTACCTCTTTTCCTTTAAAAGGGTCTACCAAACGGGGTAAAACCATCAAATAATTTGCTTAGTCGTCAAAAGAAACTTTAATTTTATGGGTGTGCATAGTTCGTCTCACCAGGAGAAGACGCTACGACTATAAATTAAGCGTCAAATTTTTCAGTCTTCGCCCGTAATTTCCACAGTCTCTTTCCACCAAACTTTATTCAATTTCATGCCCCATTTTTATCATTGGAGTGTTGCAAAATTTGATTTAGAAACATCTTAGTTAAGAACCTGTTGAGATACAAGGGAAAAGTAAAATCACGCGTATTTTTTTACTAATTAAAACTGTTAACTGAACTAATCGCTATCTACTTTGTAATAGTACCCACAGCCCCGCCAGACAATGTGACAGCATACAACACCAGTTCCTTCAGCATTATGGTGTTTTGATCGCAAGTTCCCAATCCCTACCGTAACGGCCTGGTGGTTGGTTACAAAGTCTGCTATAAACGTGCCGATATCATTGAGAGTGTGTTGTACTGCATAGCTGTTTATGCCCTGGGGATGGAAATTGGGGGCTTGAAAACATATACACCTTACTGGATCACAGTCCTGGCTTATACTACCAAGGGCGAAGGTCCAACGAGTAAACCTCTATTGGTGTGGACCGATGAGCACGGTGAGTGAAATTGTGATAAAATTTTTGTCAACAAAGTTTTTGGATTCAAAACTTAGCCGAGGCAAGACAACGAGCAGTTGTCCCACCTCTTCGACGGGCTAAATTTATCGCGAATTTTGCCCACGTTAACAATAGTGGCTATGGGAAACGCCTTAAGGACGAGGTTGCAATAGTGGCTGTTGAATCATGTTTTAAACGAAGTTAATGGAAGTTAACAAAAAATCTCTGGTAAACAATTAAGAAAATCAAAGGAAAGCTCTAAGAAGTCTACAAGGAGTGTCTCCAGAAGTAAAAAGTAACCTTACTTCCTACTGGCTGAGGCTAGACAAACAGGCTGACTTTAATTACTGACTGACTACTGACAGAGTGACTGACTGACCTACTGACAGACTGACTGACTGACTTGTGACTGACAGACAGACTGACTGATTGACTGACTGACTGACTAGTGACTGACTAACAGACTGACTGACTCACTGACTGAAAAACTGACCGACTATCTGACGGACGGACAGACTGACCAACTGACTGACTGAGGGATGAACCTTTTGTTTTTGATACTAAGAAGTGATGATTCATTTCAGTTTCCGATTTTCTTTGTCTTTCAGTTCCGTCAGCAGCACCGAAATTATTGTCTTTTTCATCCAACATCACTGCAATCAAATTTTCTTGGGCCCCAATACCTCAAAAGCACGTTAACGGAATCTTGCGTGGTTACTACGTCATCTACTGGCAGTGGCCGCGGGCGTCTCCTGACAATCTTGTGATTCAAGTAAACCAGTCAACTCTCAGCGTGGTCATTACAGGTCTCCAGGAAAACACCACATATGGGATACGCCTGGCAGGGCTTACTAAAGTCAGGGGCCACATTAGGAATGGCGCTCTTAGCCATACTTATAATGTTACTACAAAGTATGGTAAGGAGGAATGATTTTGATATTTCTCGTCAATTTAATGCTGAACTTTTGTATCACTTTGTCAGAGTCACGTGTCTACTTTTTCTGCGAACATCAAATCGGCAGATAACATCTCTCTATCAACATTAAACAACAGCATTATACCTAACTGACTGGAAAGGGCGCTATTCCGGTAAAACTTAGGTCTTTGTTGGAAAATAGGGGAAGACCAAACATCGGTGATTGTTGTTTAAAATCTCTAATTTTGAAGTTTATGATTGGCGGTATTAAGATTACAACGGGGATAAACTTTTTTTTGTTGTTGAAATTATTATAGTTGGAGAGTAAGCGATTTGTGTCTACAGAAAGAAAGTATTAGAGTAAGTAGAGAATGGGGGAGAAATAATCAAACTAACCGCTGCTTGATTAGCTCAGTTGGGAGACCTCCGGTCTGCTAAGCGGTGGGTCGCGGGTTCAAACTCCGGTCGGACCGACACTCAGGTTCTTTACCGAAATGACTGAGAAGACAGTGCTACCTTTGTAATGACATAAGCACACGGTAAGACTTTCTAGTCTTCTCGGATAAGGACAAAAAACCGTAGGTCTTGTTTCACAGCACTCTCACTTATCAGGTTCTAGTATGATGGAAAAGAACCCACACCACTGTTCGAAAAGAGTAGGGGACGTAAACGCCGGTAGTGTGGCCAACCTCTCCTGGGCTGGGTGGGTTATCTGTAAGGAGATATCTGAATATAGGGATAACCTTATGTTCCTCCTTTAGATGTCGTAATGGCTACCTGCAAACAGTTTATGAACGTGTCGAACAGCTCAACTACTATTGAATATTCATTGTTAGGTCTTAGTCTCTGTAATGTACGGCTTAATAAGTCACTAGCTTTAAGCACTTGCACTTACGACAGGTTATTTGTTAAACCTCTTTATTTTTCTCTACAGTCTTAAAAGCTCCGCAGAACGTCAAAGTATTCAGTTCCTGTTCTACCTGCTTGAGAGTGAGCTGGGATCCAGTTTACATTCCTGATATTGACAATCCTGTAACAGGCTATCGCCTAATATACCGTGACACATCAGGGAAGGTGTACACTAACGAACTTGGACCTAAACAATCCACTGTTCATCTGACGGGTCTTGTCAAGTTTTCTACATACACGATAACAGTGTCTGCAATGACTGAAGCAGGATCGGGGAGGACCAGTGAACCCATTACTATTGTCACGCTCGAGGACGGTTAGTTGCATCCTCATATACCATGACCCATAATACTAGAAAGAATGACATGGTCTTCGCAAATTATTCGTTATAGTTTTTGTCAGTTTGCTGTTTTGTCGGTTGGTTTTGTTTTCGTTTTGTTTTTTGTTTTTGTTTGTTTGGTTTTTTTATGTTTGCCATCTTTTTTGTTTTTGCTTTTTCCCTAATCACTTGTCGCGATAAAAAATAAGGCTCTAGAGTTCAAGTAAGTAAAGGAAATAAAATGGAACAGTCAAATTAAAAAATATGTTAACAGGGTAAGCAACAGAGTTATGAAAGATGCGCATAAATAATGACATGTGAGTGACTTGCGGGAGTGGGTAACCAGTGGTTTCCCCTCGGGAAGATGTCTGAGGAACGAGCGCAGAAAATCAACACTGATGAGGTCTCACTAACCAGATCTGGGTGGTGCTTATGATTCGTTGAATCAAATTTCCCTCTCGGCACGACCAATGGGAGACACTACCCGGATCCCAGATATGAACAGTGACGCATCATCAGTATGGAAGTTCTGCGCTCCTTCCTCGGACGTAATTTCGCGGGGAAACCGGTGATATCGTCCCAGAATGTCAGATGTTTTCTCCGACTACTCCCGACAAAAATAGCACTGTATTGTTGGTCTTAGTCCCTAGCCGCGCCCCAGTATCAATCCAGGTGCAAAGCACTGGACCTCGAAGTATCTTAATAGAGTGGAGCCCAGTCCCCCAGCAGTACGTGCACGGTATTCTACGAGGCTATCACGTTTACTACAAAACGGGAAGGCCCAAAGTTAAACGTTCGACAAGTCTTGTGGGGGTAATAAAGGCCATGTCTGTTAACAAGTCGAGTCAGAATTTGGAAATAATAGGCTTGGAACCCTTCACCAGCTATGATGTTTGGGTTGCTGCGTTCACTGATGCGGGCAGCGGACCATCAAGTACTCCTGTCACCGTAGTTACCGATGAAGATGGTAAGTACATCACGTGACTTTTCACAAGACAATAGGCCACTGCGGAAAATATTAAAATTGTATTCTTTAAGTTGTCGTTTGGATAGTGATTCATGTAAACCTACTTTTGCATTATCTTTTCTACACAAATAGCTCTTGCGTCCTTTCGCCAAAAAATTTGGGTACTGCAGCAGGAGCTTGTGGGTATTGGCTCCTCTACTCAGCTTGTTTGGGTCACGGTGCAAACGCAGTTGTGAGCACCTTTGTCTTTTTAATACATTCAGAAACTTGTCAACGAGAGAAGTGAGATGGAAGGAATTCCTTTTAAAATTTACGTGCCGTTGTAACAAAAGAGGACGGAATAATTACACGCTATAGATTTCTACGTGCAGTGGGGCAAAGAAAGAAAGATAATGTGAACCTCAGGTTTACATGAGGCTCTATCCAACTGGCAATTTTATAGGATCGGAAGAACGGAGTTTTTCAACTCAGTTTAAACTTTTCCGACTTCAATGTGACCAACGTAGTAAGCTGGAAAATGAACTTTTCTAAATCGACTATCATGCATCTGAAACCACTTTGTTTGTCTTCGTACTAGCACCATCTCGACCTCCACGAATTCGTAACATCTCAGCTAAAACCTCTGAATCGGTGTTCATACGATGGGAACACATTCCACAGCGACACGTAAAAGGAATACTGCAAGGCTATCAAGTGCATTACAACGAAGAGAGCTCCCGCTTTCCGGTCTTAAAGAAGAACATTACGGTAAATGCATCTGTCACACACGCAACGTTGCACCACTTGAAGCCGATGACCAGGTATCGTGTTTGGATCGCAGGCTTTACGGCAAAAGGTGCTGGACCTTCTAGCGAGAAAGAGTTTGTCTCCACGCCCCAAGCCGGTATGTTTAAGAAAGTTGTAATTAATTAGGAAATCTTTCAGAATACAACACTAACATATAATACCCTATACTGAGGCCGCAGAAGCTTTGCACTGGACACTGTAAGTTTCTTTTTCTTATTCTTCCTTATCATCTTCTTCTTGTCTTAGCGATAAATTGATTTTGGAGGTTTCAATTGGGGTGCTGGGGGGGTGGGGGTGTGGGGCTGGCAAGGAGAGAAACAGCTCACATTGCGTAAAACTCGGACTTGAAAAGATCAACAAGTCCACAACACTTAGTAAAATATTATATACACCTCCACAAAAAACCAACAGTAAATTTGATTACTTTGAAATCAAAAAACCATTTCTTAATTACATTCCAGTCCCAGACAGCCCTCATAGAGTGAAGGTGTTTACAGTGACCCCAAGGAGCGTGCGCATAACTTGGCGTAGTAATCCGGCAACTACTAACAGCGTGACGCGTTACATGGTAAAGTGGCTGCATGTGGGTAACCCCGCTGACTCCAACGTAGATGGTCATAACATTGTGAATGCGGGCTCTCCATACCGCAGGGAAGCCCTGGTTGGTGGACTGACGCCTTTTAACATGTATTCTTTTATGGTGCGGGAGGAAGTTGGACAGGATAACTGGAGCAATTTTTCTGCTGCTGTGAATGTCATGATGCCAGAAGATGGTATGTTGAAGTTCCACAAAATTATGCGAACTGTTTCACCACTTATACTAGGCTTTGATAGATTGTACTCGTAAAAGTAGTATAAAATGCTATGAGCAGTGCTCGCATATTTCTAAAATTATGCCAATAATTATGCTAGTTCTTGTAAATTATGCTCATTTTATCAGAAAATCCAGAAATTATGCTCCCTCTTTCTACTTTAAATTTGGTAAAGACACCTCAATGGCTACACAAAAAAAGCAAGTAGATGGCAAATACGTTAACTTTATTTACATCTAGAAAGTGCATAATTCATTGTCTGACCACGGGGATAAAAATTTTAAAAATTAACAACCAGCAGGCGGACGCCATCTTGGGTAGCCGAGAAAGTTATGCGCATGCGTTGAGTCCTGTGAAAGGAGTCTAGGTCCCATGAATATGACAATAAACAAACAAAAAAAGTGATTTTGTTTCTTAAATTTGCCTGTAACAATCAATGATCTCGTGCCCAAAAAAATGGTTGCACGGTGAGACCAAAAAATAGTTCTTTTTGAGAGCACATTCACATTTTGGTGCCAGGAATATCAAAACCAGCATTTTGAATTGCGTTTTTACCTGTACATTTACGCGTTTTTACCCGCGCATTTTTGAGGAGAGCACAGCATTCCTTTGTTGCTTTTTAGAAAATTTGACTTCTTCCATACATCATGTGTAATTTATTTTGCGTTGTGGGATTGCAGAAAATGTATGGAAGAACTCAGGTTTTCAAAAAAAGCAACAAAGGACTGCTATGCACTCAAGATTTAGTGTGTAGTTTCTTTAAGTTCATTTGTTACATTATTCAAAGGGAAAGTGACAAATATAATCAATCAGCAGGAATTAGTTTTCTTTGTATTCCCATACAAACTTTTAATATTCCACCATCTTGTCCTGATTACCCATCATGCCGTAACAACCGTGGTAAGTTCGCTTTTTGTTTGATAGGGTTTGATATAATGCTTGCGCGGTACATTTCAATTCAAAGTGGGCAGACGGCAAATAGACCTTTTTACCGATACGCCGGCCATATTGAATTAATTCGATTTAAGGAGTATTATAGGATGCCCAAGGGGCATGAGCACATTTTGTTCGTATTTTCGAGCGCTTTTCGGGACTTTTTTTCTTAAAGTTTTGTTGGAATAAGATTGTAATGGGAAAAAAGATCTTTGTGCCGTGTTGTGATGTAATAATGATCGCCTTTTTCCCGAGAAATATACAGTGAAAGACCATATTTCTAATAATAAAACTAGAGAAAGGCGATCCAAACACGGCACAAGGATCTTTTTTCCCATTACAATCTTATTTTAACAAAGCTTTAAGAAAAAATGTCCTGAAAAGCGCTCGAAAATACGAACGAAATGTGCTCATGCCCCCTGGGCATCCTATAATACTCCTTAAATCGAATTAATTCAATATGGCCGCCGTATTGGTAAAAAGGTCTATTGTTGTTGCTCGAAATATGGTAACTGTTTGAGACGAAGCTGTGGTTTTGCCATTCAAAAGAACAAGGACGCATGCGTGTAGTTGGCATTATTAACAAAATCAACTTTACAACCGTGACACAGCGTCTTCAAGCGTAAATTAAAGATGTGGCAGTCATTTTTCTTACCCCCTCGCCTTTTACAAGAGTCGTTTTCTACTTTTTGGGATCGACGAGACAAAATTCCGGAGGCCGAGTTTTGTCAATACTTGAAAATTGGTCTTACCTAAGTTTGTATTCATCCCTTTTAGCTCCCTCGCCTCCTCGCGAATTATCAGTCAAGCTTAAGGAAGGAACTCGGCTGATTCTGCAATGGAGGAGACCTGAAGAAACTAATGGAATTATCAAAAAATACGAAATCCATTTTACAGACGGTGATGGCGCAACTAAAATCTACACTTCACACTCTGATCTAGAAAACGAATATCTAACATATGAAGTTTCTCTTACTGATGTCCAGATGGAGTACGAGATAAAGGTTTGGAAAAGATATATTAATATAATGAAAGGTCATGAAAAACGTTCAAAATCAAAGGTTTTCCTTGTTTTCCTTTAGAAAGAATTTGTTTATCGTTTGTCTCATTCTAGTTCGCCCTATCAAAGGTAATCGGCCGGATTCCGAAATCTGGGAATTTTTTGCCAGTAAAATCTGGAATCATGGGCATTGGAATCCGGAATTCCGCTAAGCATTTGAATCCAGAAGCCAAGTTCCACTGAAAAGGAATCTGAAATTCACTCCAGTACCTGAAATCCGGAATCTACGGCTTGGATTCCAGGCTCCAACAATGCTTTTTATCACCTTACATGATCTTACTGGCATCGAGATTTGCTCACCGAAGCTAACTTTGAAAATAAGACCGTAGGACAAAAATTCAAAACGCCTCGAGAAGAAAACAAAGTGTGATAGGACTTTTGATTAAGCCTCAACCGCACCATTGCTGGTTTGCACGTGACCTCCTGGGAACTAAACTCTATTTTCATGAAAATTCTTCGACAAAAAATTATATTGTATTGACCCCCAACATGGCCGTCTTGTCACGTGGTTACAAACCAAGAATTGTTAGGTATCTTACTTTACCCCTTACACCCAGGTACAAGCCCATAACTCGTTACCAGGACGAATGAGTGAGGAGATAACAGTGCAACACCAGCCCAATATTGAAACGTCTGAAGGTAACAAACGTAGATGTGCCTCATTATCACTCATATATATTTTGTCTAGCATTGCCCCCTCTCCCCGGGGGGGGAGGTACCCAAACAAAGTTTTATACGGAGAGTCTCTTCCCCGAGGTCCATCCCCTTACCCTTTTATAAACAATTTTTGACAGAAAGGTACCCCTTTCGTATACCTTTTATTGAACAATGGTACCCCTTTTACATACTTAAGTTTAGAACACTGAATTCCTTTTAACTAGGTGCTTTCGAAGACCGCAATGACAGATTTCCCTACCCTTTCATATACCAGAAGCGTGAAAAAGGTACCCCTTCAGGGCGCAACTTTCCTGTATGGGCCATTATAAGGAGCAAGTACACCTCCTCCAGAACACTAGGTCAACATTGACCAGAGTTAAGTGTCCTCATTACCATCAAATCGTACCTTGTTAGGGTGTCTTTGGAGGCAAAACAACGAGCTCATTTTTGGCGTGACTCAAAAAATAACTATAATATATAATCTATAATGGTCTGCGAAAGTCTGTGACACGGCCGGAAGCGGTATGTGTCGCCGATATTCAGACGATTCCGGGCACTACAGGCAAATGCGCACAATTATTTTAGCGTAAAAGGTATACAATGTATGTTAAACTCAGTTTTCGCCAACATCGCGTCTAGCATTATGTGGCGTGTATGACGTGAAGCATTTCACGAATTGTCAGTCATGTTCCTGATCAAATGGAAACCACGCTTTAATAGAGAAGGTGCGACCATACTTTACGTATGGCTGAAAATAATAAAATTTTTTACCAGATTGATAGAAACTTTTCAGCACACATCAAGAATTTGCGTAGTCCTCCTGTAGGTAAAAAGCTTCACTTATAGTTCTGAACGAATAAGCTCTAATCGATGTTTTCCTTGAACCTCTATGCAGCCCAAAAACCTGATCCTTCCAAGTCCAATTTAATATGGATCGTGGCTGGTCTTGTGGGAACTATTCTAATGCTGGTGATAATTGCTGCATTCTTTCTCATCAGGTACGTATACCTTTTTCTCTTTTCTGTTTCCTTTTCTTTAATTTTGGTTTCTCTTCTCTTCTTCTCCTTTTTTTCCGTCAAAACATTAAACACTGTTGCAGCCTGCCCCACGTAAGGATATCCAAGACAGTCTTGGATTCTGGATTCCAAGCCGTGGAATGCGGTGTGCAGTTACTGGATTCCAGTCTCTGTCAGTGGAACTTGGATTCTGGATTTCAATCGTTAGTGTGATTCCGGAATCTTGACCTGTATTCCGAATTCCAAAGCCCAGGATTCCGGATTCCATAAGCAAAGTTTTCCCTGATTACGGATTCCAGAAGAAAAAAATTCCTGGATTCCGGAATCCAAATTCCCTTACAAGGAGCAAAGACTGCAGAAGTTAACAGGTTTTGGCCTAAAAAAAAAAAACAAAAAAGACTGGAAATAAAAGGATAAGTTAAATTTTTAGGTCATTCCCAGATATTGTTTAAAAACCTTGAGCGCAATGTAGAGCACACAACGTACATGTATTGACGCAAACACAATATGAAAATCAGGTATACGAAACACCCACGTTTGGATACCCCTGATACAAACCAACGCAGATTCAAGCACAGGCATACTTCTATCAAACAGACATGAAAAAAAAAAAAAAAACGGGGCCGTAAACGTAAGAGATAGTGCAAGCAAATGGACATGCGTAACAACGCAAATGCAAGCGCAAGTGCATGTGAAAAAGCGTGTAAAAATTTGCGTTTGCGTTTGCGTTTGCGTTAACTCTTACGTCTCAATGATAAACGAACCTTAAATTGGAAGTTTTCAAGTTGTATGTTGAGATGTTCAGTTTGCTTTGTTTGTATGTTTATTTTTTTTTATTAGTGCTGTTGTCGTTATTTTACAAACTAAAACAATCCTCAAAACGAAGCTCATCTTTGTGAAACTGCGTTTTCTTGCAGGCAAAATTCAAAGAAGTCTACAGAAAAACTTCATAGACGTAAGTAAAATTTCCGTAATCTGCAGCTTGAGACTCACTAAAAATCTATAGTGGTACAATCATAATACCAGCAAAACTGGCGGTGCGCTTTATATTAAAGCGACTTTTCGGAAACAGCAAAATGGTTTGTTTTTTTGTTTTGTTGTTGTGCTAGTTTTTTTTTTTTTAAGTAACTTAAAGGTATTCAAATAAACTCGATATCCTTGAGCTGGCGTTTTCGTTAATTAATCCTGAATTAACTGCTGTATACTGCAGAATTGCACCCTTTTACGCGCGTAATGCAATATCTAATTTATTATTCTCCGTTTACCTGGCAACTGAACGTTAACTAGATGCTGCTGCTGAGTTATTTTCAATTATGTTTTCACTTCTTTCAATCTCTATTCATTTTCTTTTCGTTTTATCAACCATTGCGAGAGAGAGTGAAACGCCGAAGCACACGAGTACATCTTTGCATCGAGTGCCTCAATCAATTGACGAAATAATATATAACAGACGGAATCAATGCCCTTAAGCCTAATATCAATGGAAACTGCGTACCTGCAAAAATATTTTCCGTTGTTGATCACACAAAGATCACCTCCACCAGTCTTTTATTTTTGCGGTGTCTTATATCGAATGGTTCTTAACAACGATTGCTTGTAAAGTTCCCGAAAGATCAGTCTTGCACGTAGATTATCTTATGTCCCGTCAGTCCTCACGATCGTGCAAAAATGGCTGTTATTATTTATAGGAAATATTAAATACTTAATGACTGGTCACGAGGGTAACTGTTAATTTTGTTTCCCAAGAATCTCAATGTTTTCCTCGTCTCCACCTCGGAAAACATTGAGTTTCGACACATTTCTTTGACACGAGCTGTTATTTTGACCAGCAATTTCTTCGCTTCTATTACCGCGCTTTGCAATAACATGCGACCGCAAGTCAAAAATATAACTATCGTTGAAGTTTTTCGCTTTCGTCACTCACTCTAACGGACCTCTCGAGAAACACGTGCTTTCTTTAGCGGGTTCAAAAAGTCATGTCTGTAGGTTGAAATTGGTTGATTTCAATCCATGTTGATGTCGTCTATTTCGTTTCGTGGTAATTATGATGGACAACTAACTTTCTCGGAATGTACTATTAGTCTCGTCATTCTCCTGTGTAGGTGGCCCTGGCTCTAGTATTCGCTCTGTAAGTAATTTGTTATAAAGCTGGAAATTTTGAAGCTGCAATTCCGTTAAATCTCGCAGTAACGGCGATGTTGCCCTCTGATGTCATAGATTTTGCAATGTTACTTGCTCATGAGAATTTGGCGGGAAATAGTTTTATTATTTTATTTCATTATATCGATGTCATGTAACCTTGAAGTAACCAATGAGAGCGCGCGCTTTTGGTAAAAAACTTCCAGCTTTATGACAACGCTCTTTTTACGCAGGTGTGAATAAACTCGTATAACAAGGTTAAAGATGCATCTTTTGAAAACAATAAGATTTTTCTTGCTTTGCAGTGTCTATCATTTCCACGAGCGCCCTTCCCAGTCGACCTATTCCAGTAAAAGAACTGCCCGAGCATTGTGATCGTTATCATGCCAACAATAACGCTTTATTTAATGACGAGTTTAAGGTATGAAATCCTTATTTCTTAGAGTGTAGAGGGACTATATCACGCCTGTCTAGCTAGTTTATATTTTGTCAATTATTTCATTTATCCGTCCTTATTCGCTTTAGAACTTGAGGAGTTTCTTGCAAATTACAAAATCACAGCTTTATCTCCCAAACATTGATACAAACAACAAAAATGAATCGTTTGTAAAAACCTAGAGGCTCACAAGTTTTCAAACGCCACAATAGCAATCTATTTCAATCTTCTTCAAGTTTTGCCATCCGTAGAGCGCGGTGAATGATGGGAAGAGGGGATAAGCCTCTTGTCCCTTCCCATCGTCCCCAGCGCGCTTTTTTTTCCTCTTTCTAACCTCCCTACGACGAAACGAGGGGTTTGGTAAGGGGGAGAGGCGCCCACCAAGTCATAGAACAACGCACTTAATTTCCGCTTTACCTTTTTTCGTGACGTCGCTAAAACTGAAACAGGCTCCAAGACCGTCAAAAACACCCGCTTATCTTCGATTATTATCATTTAATAGTTTCTTATACTGTGAAAGGTTTAAACCCAGGAGTCATTTCACAAGTAGGTTGAGTATGATCGTCCTGGTTAACGAAACGCACTTGAATTTCGAAACGCACTAATGACATTACTAGTTTCCGCAGCCAAGAACATCATGGCTTAACTGACAGACGACCAATAAAATCGCAACTTAGTTAACTAATCAGATCAATA